TCCAAAAAAATTAATATTTGAAAGTAGGAACGATGAGACTTTTTTCCACTCATGCACAATGTAAAAAGGTAGAAACGATGCAACTTTTTTCCCTCTTCTGCACAATGGAAGGGAAAGGAAAATAGGTTGCATATATTAAGAAGTTCATTATGCGAATTATTCTTGGCACAAACTGAAAAAAATGCGGCAAGATAAATTTTTGAATTTCTTCACAAATTTTGCACCAAATTTGATAAAATTTAATACTTAGGCATAATTTGAATCGTAAAATCAAAATATAGAAAAACATTAGTATGTTATTTCAGAAAAAGTCCCGACACTATATATAAATCTAATATATATCCTTTCGAGACATGAAAAATGCAATTTTAATTTCGTCAATCGGTCCAGTAGAATGAGAGTACAGAACTGTCTTTTTTTTTTTCGCAGTGTACGAGGGCTATCCAGAAAGTAGATTACGTTTTGGAATAAAAAAATAAACAAAGTATAGGAAACAAATTTTATTATATACAGATGAAAGCCACACTCAAATACTACTTTTCTACATAGTCACCATACAAATTAAGGCATTTATCGTATAGCGATGTACGAGCTTGGAAATTCCTTCGTCGAAAAATTCGGCCGCCTGCGCCTTCAACCACTTCGTTTTACCTCTTCTTGCAGCTGTGCGTCGTCATCAAAACGCTGCATAGCCAGCCACTTCTTCATTGCTGGGAATAGGTGGAAGTCGCTCTCGGTGCCAGGTCGGGACTGTACGGCGGATGAGGAAACAACTCCCACTTAAAAGATTCAAGAACTTTACGAGTGACATTTGCCATGTGTGGGGCCGGGCGTTGTCGTAAATCAACAAGATCTTAGAGCTCAAACTTCCTCTGCGCTTGTTTTGAATTGCTCTTCTGAGTTTTTGGAGAGTTTGGCAATACCTTTGAGAGTTTATTGTAGTGCCTCTTTCCAGGAAGTCCACCAAAATTACACCTTTTCTGTCCCAAAAAACAGTCGTCGCCATCATCTTCCTTGCCGACATTGTTTGCATGCATTTCTTGGGTTTTTGGGGAGAACTTGTGTGCCCCCACTGCATTGATTGCAATTTCGTTTCACAGTTCACATGTTTCACACCCATGTTTCGTCACCAGTAACGATGCGATCGAGTAAAGAGTCACCATCCTTATGGTAAGCGTCCAAAAAGTTCAACGCTGCAGCCATTCGCTGATTTTTGTGGTCCTCTGTCAAGATTTTTTGGAATCCATCTTGCACAAAACTTGTGGTAACCAAGCTTTTCGCTGATGATTTCGTGCAACAAACTTCGCGAAATTTGTGGAAAACTCAAAGAAAGTTCCGTATTTATTGTGAAATTTCGATTTTCACGGACTTTAGCATCGACTTTTTCGAGAAGTTCGGCGGTCACTATGCTGGGTCTCCCACTTCGATCTTCGTCGTGAACATTGGTTCGGCCATTTTGAAATCTTATGACCCACTGACGCACTCCACCTTCAGTGATAATGTTGTCCCCCATACACTTCACGAAGCTGCCGATAGATTTCTATCGGTTTACAGTTTTTTGCAGTCAGAAACCTTATTACTGAGCGCACCTCGCGGGATTTTCAATTAACGCAGACATTTCAAACCGTCACAGTATCTGAACGGAGCACAGCACGAACCTCTCACTAGCACGGCTAGATGCAGACTGAGCTGCGCAACGCTCTGACCCCAAGATGGCCGCGCTAGCCCCGCCCCTAGTGGACACAGACGGAAACGTAATCTACTTCCTGGATGGCCCTCGTACATTTATTTCACTTTATGTTACTATGCATATCTAATATCCAGTTAATTACTTTATTCCATTCCTTAGGGGTCTATTATTATTATTCTCATATGTCTGGCACCCTTAGGGGTCTATTATTATTATTCTCATATGTCTGGCACACTCAACAGGCATCTGTAGCTATATGTTCCTATATAAAATCGGCTTGTTTTTGAATTCTTAATCTGTCTTTAGATTTTGACTGTTATCCTACACAATTTGAATTACAATGCATAGTTAGTTGCCAACCTTGAAAAATGAAAAACAGAGTTTCCTCGAATTTTTTTTTTTTTTTTTTTCTTCTGCGCTACAGCACCATTTCAAAAGAACTTTAAAACTAACTTCTATTCACTTCATAAAATATAATTCAGGTTACTGAGCTATAATGAGATTCTGATGTAAAATATATTAACATTTAATTGGATATTCCAAATTTTATGTTCTTTGATAAATTTCATGGTTATTCTTACAGTTTCTATACTGACAAAATTCAAAGCAGGGAAGAAAAACACTTTTTTTTATCAAAGTACTTTTTACATACGATGAAAATACAGTTAATTATTAATGTACATACTATTGTGTGAATAAACTTAGGAATGTAGTAACTACTGATGTAAAACAAAATTAAATGCAAATATTAACTCATTAAACATTGTATAAATCTTAACTAAAACATTATTTTAATATATAAGGTAGATTAAGAAAATTCAGACTGAGGAAAAATATACTAAAAATCAATGACAGAGGAGTGAAATTTCATAAATTCAATAAACTTCATTTATTGATTTGAAAAATTTTCCTTAAGGTTAGCCCTCTGACTGCTCAATTTGTGGACCAAAATAGCTTCCAAAATTGTGGGGTTCCCCCTCCCATATTTTAAATCTATATATATATATTGGAGAATTGAAAAATGCACTTTTTCTTTCTAGAAAGTATTTTTTTATAGATTTTTATCATGAGAAACTAAGTTGCCAGAAAAACCAATTTCACATGATATCGCCAAAAATCTTTTTTTAAATAAATTTCAGTCTAACTGCAGTTAATTTCTTTATTTGCATAATATAGAAAAGTAAATGTATAAAATTTAAGAAAATAAAGCACTGAGGAAAAAATATCTTAGAAATGCAAGTTTAGTATGATAGAATTCAAAACAGGGTTCAAGACAAAGTCCAACTTCACAGTCTTTGCACTACATTCAATAAATCTAATTAATAATTAAAAAATTAATTGAATAATTCAAGATAATTCGCTAAATGTTTTCTAGTAACCATTCTCTGTAAGAAAAAAGCAGCAAAAAGTGGAAGTTTGAGTAGCTAATACCACATGTTCCTTCAAACGCCGCAATTTAACGGACAACTAACGATATCTATTGGCCAAAATGTAAACTAAACACCTAATACTGTATATAATTTATTTCAATGCTTAAATGGCAAAAAAACGGGATGTGCTCCTCAATAAAGGAAGAAAAATATATGCCTGTGGAAAGTGCTGGATAAGCAAATTTTGCTACATTTGAGTTGCCCGTGGAAATCGCAGGATGATCAACCAAAGGGTTAAAAATTAAAAATCAGGATATAGTGCAATCAATCAAGAGACCAAGAGATGTGATGAAAAATTGGGAAAGTTGGCAGCTACAACAATGTATGTATACTGAGAATGAGAAAGAAGACATATTTGTTCTACAGTTGTTAAAACGAGTTCTCTAAAGTTGAGATGAGCATGAATGAACAAGCTGTAATAAAACAATAGATGAAATGATACTCGGTACAGCAATCCTCAAATTAGATACAGAACAGGTTGCACTGCACTTCCATATCTAAAAAGGGAGTACTTTGATATTACAATAAACCCTCATTAACATGTTGACTGCCGTGGGGGTCACCGGTGATTGGCATTCGACTTGGCTATAGCGCCGCGGGGGCCACCAATGACCGGCGATGCGACCAACAGTAAAAATATATAATTAAATATCGATACAGATTAAGTTTTTAAGTAATAACCATTGTTACTATAATGTTTTGAAGAGTAATAGATGGCAAAAATTTAATAAATCGCAAAAATGGTCTGCAGCCCCTTGAGGGATGAATGGTGACCCCCACCACGAAAAATGCATTAAACACGCTTACATAACTCACCTTATCTTCTGTAGATAATATTTCAACATAGTATGCATTGAATAATAAAAAATTCATGTTGGTGCCATGGGCGAACCACGTAAGATACACATGGCATTTAACGTGTTAGCACGAGTCTCAAGGGATAGAAAAGCCAAGAGTTTGTGTTACAAAAATTCGTATTGAATGGAGACTCAAATGCTACTTCTGGAATAATTCTCCTATACATTAACCATTTACAGTACACTTACATATCATTTACAGTTACATACCATTTACAGTATACTTACATTTACAATATACTTACATATTGCAATATATTATGTATGACATCACAGAAAGCACTACATTACTCCATTAATTACTGTACTATAACTTGAAAAAATGCACTCAATGTTCATCAACTTCATGACCAATGGCAGTCATGGCTTCTGTAAAACTAGTGGTTAATTCACATGTTGCAACAAATGTTCTACAGTGCCCAAGGCCATTTCCTGGCTGGTGGGCAATATGATATTGCCCTCCTCACTTTCTTTTTATGGTATTTCTTGCACCTCAAACAACTACTCATACATCAGATTCCACTAAAGCACACACGGCAAGGCTGTCATGTGCACTAACACTTCGAATCTCATCAGGATCAATGATCACGATAATAATCTCAGTGATCACAACTGTCCAAGAATGTTACTCATTACTATGCTTTAAAGAATACAGTATATTATGCAGGGTTTCCAATTAAGTGGGGGAAAAAAATTTTAACACAGTCCTAGCATGGAAATGGCGGGAAAAAATATGAAAATTTTTTTAAGTTCATATTAAATGATAATCTAATGGCACAACAAACTGAAAAACAGTTCGCAATGTGTGCTATCTGAAATTCACATTAACAAATAAAACTTCCCATAAGATTACATATATCGCTGCCCGGACCAAAATTTTGTTCATGTTAACCAAGTATTTGCCTTAAGGGGTGCTACAGGAGTATTTATTGATTTACTGTATATGTGAAAGAAAATAAAGCATAAAGTAGCAAAAATTACTAAATAAAGACAGAACACTTGTGAAAATAAAAAAGTTCATACCGTTTCTTTATCACATATCCTTTGTAACACAAGTTCAAAAGTGTCTGGATGATATTTGAATTTTCTACTAACTTCCTGCATCAACTGTGCCGCTGTTGTTGAAGCAGGTAAATTAATCACAGATTTTTTACTGTGCAACTGTAAACCAAAGGAAATTTTAAGTTTTCTTAAAAACAAATTACTAAATAAAAACTTAAGCTTAAATATCAACAATGCATATATTTTTCATTGAACAGCTAAAATTTTGCATTGCAATTTGTATTTTAAAAGTACAAGCCAAACATTTTTTTATCAATATAATTTTATATTGATATCTTTTTCAATATAATTTATATTGATATCTTTTTATCAATATAACACTGTAGAAATGGGAGGAAAACCATGAATCTATGTGATTTGACAATATTTTAGTCAGTTATTTCATTTATTAAAAAATTCGATTTAAGGTGCTTTCACTTTCAAAAGCAAGAAATTTTGCACTCGTGCAATTTATCAAAAATTACCACACTTCTACAACGTGTCAGATTAAAACAATGAAGATGTATTTTAAATTACTTCTAAAAATAAGAATGTTATTTTCTTAAAACAGAATGAGAATTTTAAACTGATATTAATTGCAGCCAAAAGCTGAATTTACGATTATTCTGCTAAAACTTTTTCAAAAAATTACTACTTTTTTGTCTAATGTATTCAATTTAATACCGTGAAAATTACTATACATAATGTTAAATCTATTGTAAATGATGCTTATCAACATAAATTAGACTGAGGGAAGAAGAATTAAAACTTTACTATATTGCATAAAATTTTTGTTTTATATAAATTAATGGCATGCACATTTAATACTTCCTATCCTAAATAATGACGATTTAATAAAAATAAAATGTTTAATCACAAACGAAACAAACAAGATCTACACAACCACTATATAGAAGATAACTACCACTCCTCTTTAATTTTTAAATTAGAAATTCCATAAATGGCAAAGTTTAAATTACTAATAAATATGCAGAAATACAACTAACCTGGCCATCTGACAAGTCCCGGATAATACATAATGCTCTGGGTTCATCAGCAGCTGCTGTGGCTGTGGCACACATACCCTGAAATAATAATTAAATTTACACAGAGATACAATTACACAAAAAGAATATTTAATATGTTTAACTCAGCTGTTATAATGGGCCTTTTTTATATTACAAAATTTATATTTTTTTTACTTTAAAAATACATAGTTAAGTGATTTTAACCTAAAGTTAATAGGCTGAAACAAGAATTAAATAAAACAAACTTTTATAATTTTCTAATGCATCATGAAATAACTCACAAAGAAAATAAAAACATGTGAAAATGAGAAGTTTGTAAAAGAAAGATAAACTGTTTGACATATTCATTTCTGGGTTCTTGTAACATCCAAAGCTGAAGTAATTCCTACAGCCAATATTTACATTAAAAAAAGTCATTATCAAAAAAATGCATTTTAAAAACATTCTTCTGTTAATGAGATGATTTTCACTGAAAATAATGACTACAGTAAAAGCCCGACTACACCGTATTCCACTAGACATTTAGATAAAAATTTAGTAAATGAGATATTTTTAAAGCCATTATACAGCTCAAAATTGTATTAACATGTACACATTTGCAACAAACAGTGTGATTTAACACCAATAGATATGCATCACATGATAACACAATAAGAAGATGTTCATTTCAATTTACTGTAAATTTGATTTATTGATAAGCCGGTTTAATTTTCAAAGAATGATTTCAGTTCTATTTTCCGTCACATTTTGGAAAAGTGATTAGTATCTGGGACTACATGAAATTGAGTATTTTCAAAGTTATAGGATCAGGGCATCAATAAAAGCCACAATATGCAACTTTGAAAACAGATAACTGGTGATGTAACATGAAAAATTATGTTAAGCAATTTAAGTTTTTTTATATGCTGTATCTATAATTTGTATCTCTTTATTATCTAATTAAATGAAGAACAATATGTTTGTTTAAACTTCTGCTAGAATGATCAGCAACATTTCCATCAACTTTCATGCACAGTGGGATTTCATAATTGGATCAGAAATTTTGCTTTAATGTTTAAAACCGACACAATATATTGGCTTCTGTGTCTGAAATGCATTTTTTTTCCTTTCAAAATCTTATACAATTTTAAATGTAGGATTTTGGTATTTAAGGTGAGGGATAAACAAGATGACTGTTTTTATAATTTTACAGCAGAAATTTTTCTCTTTCTAATTTAAATTCTGTTTTTTACATGCTCAACTATCCAAAATTTTCACGTACCCAGAATCTGACATTTTCCAGGCTTTCTATACAGTCAAGCTTTTACTGTATTAAGTAATAATCAAATTATAAATACTGAATAATATAACTAGCCTAATCTTGCTTAAAGGCCTGAATTTAAAGACTGTTAAATAGTGCTTAAATTGAAATTTTTCACAGCATAGTTTAAAAACAGCTTTTTTGTACACTTCCTGTTTTTAAATTCTAAAATTTAAACTTTCATAACAAATAAGTGGTATATTTTACATACTAAGAAGATAAAACTACAGCAAATAAAATTCTCTTATACATTTAATACAAAAAAGGTAATCAAAGTAAAACATTACCTATTTCCAAAACAAAAAAAAATTCTATAACCCCCAAAATAATTGAAAGCCAGTTAAAGAAATGGAGCAGTAAAATGGTAGTCACAGATAATCCAAAATCTTGGGCAGTTCATAAAACAGGAGCAAATTTTAAGGATATTGACACACATAAGAAAGCAGCATGCATATGTACTGTCTGCCACCACCACTTGGCAACTATACAAGGAAGAGAAAATATAGTTGTGAAAGAAAAGAGTGCATGTGTCAGGGTTCTAAAAATATATTCTGTGGCACCAATGCTCTGGAGAGAGTAAAAGAAATACTTTCTTTCTCTAATTTAAATGCCACCTTATGTCACTACTAAGCCTACAGACTATGTGCTGTGCAATTCCTCCTCCCCACACACTTCTTTTGTACTTCCTTAAATGGTTAATATTCATTCATAACATCACTATGAAGTTCTACTATAAAATACATTGAGTAACAATGATCTACCAGATCTGGGCAGAAGAATGAAAGAATAAAATTATTTGTAACCGAGTATGTAAGTATATTATTAGTCATAAATAATATTTAAGTAATTACTGTTATGAACTTCTTTGGAGAACCTTTCTTTGCAGGGGGGGGGGCACTGCAAACTTTTATTTTACCTTTATAATGGTAAATAATGATTACCTTTTCACAATGAAATCTAAACCTTGTTCAGATTCATGCATCTGTACTTCTTTACTTTTGTGACACACATCAACTGCAATATCTGATTTGCAGGAGAAAAACTAATATTATAAAACAATGAGCTGATCCTACTATTACATACATAATTTTCAACTCCACCCAACTATTTTGTTTCCTAGTGTGTTTACATGATATTTAACAACTTTCAGTTTTTTAGATTGCTTTTTGACCTTCATTTTAAAAATAACCAAACATGCTATTTACTAAAATATCACATAAAATTTTTTACTTAACTGTACTTTTTCTCTACTAGATTTTAAAGAACTCTCAGCATAAGCTTTTAGTGAAATTTGAAATTTTCAAATTATTGATCAGCAATTTAATCTGTCAGTTAAGGCAACTAAGCTGGTGGCCTCTTTAACAAGGAACTGTTTTTTTAGGAAAAAATAAATTATTCAAAATTATACGAAAATTATTAGGATTGCTTGATTGATTATAAGCTTGTCGACAATGCATACATGACGTGCATGTTAATCCTTAGAATGCTAAGACCATTACTCAGCTGTTTCTTTAAAAAATTGAAATGTCTGAAATTCCATTTGAGACTCACAACAATTTCTTCCCCTCCCTAACATACAAAGAAGTGTGGAGATTTTATATGATATTGTTTTTATTTCCTAACAAAGGAGTTCCCCCAGTATATACTAAGTTACCTTTAAACTAAAAATAAGAAACCACAAGAGAACCCTTATAGGACAAGAATGTATGATAACGTTTACTAAAAACACCCACATTTTCAAGGGATTAAATAACTATAGTCAAAAGTCTTTAATCCGGACTCGTCAGGACTTCGGCGATTCCGGATTATAGATCATCAATTTAAATCTGGTAAGATGGCATGCAGAAATTATAAAATTAAAAATATGAAACCGTAATTTATGAAATAAAGAGCAATTATGATCTAAAGGGTATCAAAATTTACAAAAAGCTTAATATTTATTTGTTTACAAGAGATTTGTTAAGATATTAAACGTTTCTTTCAACGCACGCATGCATAAAGCATACATTACGCATAGTCGAAATTAGAAAATTGCAACTAGAAAACTATTTGATGAGTATTCGTGATATTTATAATGACGAGGAATTTGATTTAAATCATATCAAAGACGGAGTACATCAAGATGAAATACTACATTTAGTAAGGAATTATAAGGCGAATAAAATAAAAACATCTGCCCTGAAAATGAGGATAGTGCTGACAGATCAACTTCCATTTCATTGCGTGCCACGACGACTCTGGCTTAACACTGTAGCATTTTACGTTAATTTTAACATAAACTGCCAACAGCAATCTAAACTATTAGGTAATAAAAAATATGTAGAGAAATGTTCATATTAAATAACCATATAGAAACATACTTTATTCATAACCATTCAATGTATTATAAAAAGAGAAAAAGTTTTATTGTAGGGGGGGAAATATAAAATTTGTAGCGTGACTAACGGAAAAATCATGCTTCATGAAAATTTCATGCCCAGGAGCCTACGCTTAAAAAAAAAAAGAGGGACTATTCCATTAAAGCACCGTCAGTTAAAAATGGAGGGAAAATTGAGAAGAAAACCATGTCTCAACATGCCAAATATCATGGCTCGAGAATTTAACGTTCGGAATATCGTGTGTTGAGATTTCTAGCCTTCGTTTGAAAGAGTGTTGCTAATTATTTTGAACATTTTTTATTTATGTTTGAAAATATCATGGCTCGAGGTTTCTAGTTCTCGTTTGAAATATCCCCCCGTTATTTTTTTTGCCATATTTTGCAATTCTTTTAATATGATGGATTACACAATTTTGCAATTACCTAGTGACAAAGAGGCTGCCATAAGATTCTTTCAGAACAAAGGAAAAATTCTTAGCAATAGACTTTGTTCTCAAAATATTCTGACGATTTCTTTATTTAATGTAGTGGCTGATGTATTGTAAAATCTTCTCAAATTCAGAAAATAATTGCTTGGCAAGACACATTTTACGGCTGATCTTTGGAATATGGTAACAGGTAGTTTGGCGAAGTTTTGGAGGCGATAAAGGTTACTACCTAGGACTTTGGTAATAATGTAAGAAGCACTCAGTTCCGATTACGCATTATTTTGTGTGAGGGAAATGAGAGATCATGAGATATGTCATGTGACATTAATGGACGAATTACAGTTCTTTAATTGGAAAGGGGGTAAATTTGGAAAAATTATTTTGTATTAAACTTCATTGTGTGTTGTGTGAAATAGTGTTGATTAATTTTCGGATTGCATGGCGCTATGTAAAGGGAATTCTAAATTTTTAATACGTAATAATTAATAATAAGTTGACTACTGGATTTCGGATTTTGAAATTAGCAGTAGTACTGCAGCCGATTGGAACTCTTTGTGTAGGGAAGTGTGCATGCCACGTAATGAAGATTCTGAAGATTAGGTAAGTTAGTATTTTTAAGCATTTGAGGATATTATTTGTATGCATTGTTCTAAATGTAAGGAGTAAATAAATTAAAATGGTATTATTGGAAAATTGTTATTAGCAATGATTTAGTTTAAAGTAATTAGGATTGTAATCTAATTTCTATTAATTTAATGTATGTGCTTATTTATATTTTAAGTAGTGTTTTTTAATTTAATTATATTTTAATTTAATGATCGTGATTTTGTGAGTTATATGTTTGTAGTATTTTGGAATACGTTTGAATAGTATACGTGAGTATTTTCATGCATTTTCGTGAAATTTTTCTAATTTATGAGAAAAAAGCAGTGCACATGGATATAGTGAAAGGTGTGCGCAATGCCATTTTTGTGCAATTCTGGGATTTTTTTTAAGTAAAAATAAGTCGACATGTTACATGGTTTAGTGATATTTTAATTAAATGATAGTTATTTTGTGAATTTTGTGTTTGTAGGAATTTGGTATACGTTTCATTTGAAGTAAACATGTATGGAAATAATTAAAATATTTGATACTAAGTATTTGTAACTATTTTTAATGTTTGCATATAAATTCGTTGCTGACGTTTATACAGTCAAAAGTCGTTAATTCGGACACTCATAATCCGGAATGATCTATAATCCGGACCTCAAAGCTAAAAACTTTCTGCACATGCGCCGCGTTGGCACATGCGCACAGGCGTTTTACGTGTGCGCGTAAGACCTTGACTACTGCGCATATGCGTGTGCGCGTAAGACCTTGACTACTGCGCATATGCGTGTGCACAAGTGCAGAATATGTTTTCGCCTCGCATTTAATGTATAACGGACGGTGTAAGCTAAAATTATCTAATTATCTATTTCAGTTAATATTAATGATTGCGCTGTTCCTTAATCTTCGAATTGGATCCAGCTTATTATTTTTTGAAGACTGTAAGAGCAATTTTATAAAAGTAAACTTGAACTTTCGATTATGTCAAATAGAATTTCCGATGCTGGAACTTCCAAAGGATCTACAAAACGAAAGTATGTTTCGATGTCATAGAAACAAAAAGTGGATAAAGATATGAAGAGTGTGACAGAGAGGTTAGTGAACACGAAAAAATTTCGACTGACAAGTTAGTCGGTATTCTCGGCACAGCAATTAACGGGACTTGAACAGCGGAACTTTGTAACTGAACAAGAAATTATGTGTGTTTATAGAATTAAAGAGAAAGTATTATCACATAAAACGAAGCAACTTAAACAACTTACATTGAAAGAAATGTTTAATAAAGTAAACAAATAAATATTAAGCTTCTTTTTTTTTTTTTTTTTGTAAATTTTGATACCCTTTAGATCGTAATTCTTCTTTATTTCATAAATTACGGTTTCATATTTTTAATTTTAGAATTTCTGCATGCCATCTTACAAGATTTAGACTGATGATCTATAATCCGGAATCGCCGAAGTCCCGACGAGTCCGGATTAACGACTTTTGACTGTAATATAATAGATAATTTAGAGGTAAAAGTTTTTGGATATTTTATTTATTTTATACTTGGAAATGTTCATTCTTGGAAAGGGTATATACTTGTTCACGATCAGGTAATTTCATATATGTTCTTTTTACTAGATTTAAAGATTCACAAAATTTTCATGCATTTTCGTGAAATTTTTCTAATTTATGACAAAAAAGCAGTGTACATGGATATAGTGAAGAGTGTGCACAATGCCATTTTTGTGCAATTCTGGGATTTTTTTTAAGTAAAAATAAGTCGACGTGTACATGGTTTACTGATATTTTAATTAAATGATAGTTATTTTGTGAATTTTATGTTTGTAGGATTTTGGTATATGTTTCAGTTGAAGTAAACGTGTATGGAAATAATTTAAATATTTGACACTAAGTATTTGTAACTATTTTTAATGTTTGCGTATAAATGCGTTGGTGACGTTTATAATATAGATAATTTAGAGGTAAAAGCTTTTGGATATTTTATTTATTTTATACGTAGAAATGTTCATCCTTGGAAAGGGTATATTCTTTTTCGCGATCAGGTAATTTCATATATGTGCTTTTTACCGAGTTTAAAGATTAAGAAAATTTTCCTGCATTTTCGAGCAAATTTTTGTAATTTATGAGAAAATAGCAGTGTAGATGGATAAAGTTAAGAGTGTGTGCAATGGCCATTTTTGTGCAATTCTGGGATGTTTTTTTAAGTAAAAATAGTCGACGTGTAAATGGTTTATGTATATGTGCTATTCTGAAAAACGTGCGTAATTCGGCTAGCAGATTGTTGGAAAAAGTGTTGAGTAAATAAAAAGAAAAGAAATACGTCTTTAATTCGTGAAGACAAAATGGCGGCGAAAAAAAAAAGTAGAGGGTTGCTGTAGCAGAGTTGGTCGCCAAATTTTCGCCAAAAAATTGCCAAGTTACCATAATCCAAAGATCAACCCATTTTACTTGTACTAACTAACAACTTCATGACACTTAGGACAATAACAATTTTCTCTGTTACAGAGGTCTATCAAGCTTCTGCTGAATTTCAAATCTGCGATGGAAATGTGAAGAATAACTGAAAATTCAAGCTCAATTCTTAAAAGATAATTGCTCTGCAGTATTTCTACACATAAAAGATGGATCTAAATTATTTATGTGTGGAAAAAAAACAATTTTAACGTTAGCATAGACTGAAGAGTACTCTTGTAATATTGTGAAGTTGTTGTTTCATTTATAGCCAAGTCGTTTCATTTATGGTAACCTGAATAGCTGAATGTTCCGTAAATATACTTTCAGTCAAAACAGGTCAACATGTACGTGGATAAGGTTGAGGGAGTGCACAAAACTCGGTATCCATGTACCGCCAAAAACTGCCAATTTTCGCCAAGGAGTACTAAGAAATTCAGACACTTATTCACAGAAATATGCAACATTTGCAAAGACATTTGTAACATTTGCACAGAATATGCAACATTAAACTGCCAAAAACTGGCAAAGCATATCTAAAAAAAATATGTTGCAATATACTTACTATATTAATTATAATGAAGTAAGATTTTTAATAACTAAATTAACAGTTAATATTTCACATTACACAAAAAAGTGACATCTGTTCAGCACAGATTTTGAATAAAAACTGTTTTAACGGCAATGAGACACAGGTCCCCTTTCTGCAGAAGCAAAAATTTTATTAAATTAAGGTTTGGGGAAGAGGACTAATTTCTTCCAGTTAGAAAAATATATTATTAACTATAATTCTAAGATTTCAAATGTATAAAATTTCTTGCAGAGCAATTAATTATGGCATACTTTTGAGCACTTTCTGAAGAATGACTCAATACCAAATGTTTGCACTTTTGCAAAATACTCTTTTTTTGGGCAAGTGCAGAATAACCCACTTTCATGGTACATATTGATGTGTACAAAGTCAAGGGAGAGCACAATGCCAAATTTGTGCAATTCTCCGATTTTATTTTAAGTGAAAATAGGTCAATATGTACATAGATACAAAGTTTCTGCAATTCTTCAACTTGTTATTTTCAAGCTGATGCAGAATCGCCCACTTATATGGCACGTATCGATGTGTACATGGACAAAGTCAAAGGAGTGTGTAATGCTAAGTTTATGCAATTCTGAAAATAGGTCAATGTGTACATGGATACAGAGTTTGTGCAATTCAGGAATTTAATAATATATTGCTTCAATAACTTTGTTATATTTTCTAAAAATTCATCATCGTACATTATTTCAGGATACTATTTTGCATCACATACATTCATACTTAATTTTCCAGCCCGTATTTATGTTATGACATTAACAGACATCACCCTAAATTCACACATCTCTATTAAACAGTATAGAGAAACTACTATTTCTGCAGGAAGAAAGACAATTTTAAATAGTACAGTAATATTCAAAAAGCTATATTTTTTTTAATAGAATTTTCAAGTACAAAATGATCTAAATATTCTAGCCATCTAATGGTTGGAAATAAATTGGATAATTGGAGTCTTAAAAAAAAAAATCTACACCATACTTCCAAGATATTATTATAAAGTTATTCTAGAATTTTCATGTTCAAGCAGCAATTTTTACATTCTGATCACATTTTACAGAAGCAGATGATCAGGATGCAAGAATAAAAGCATGATTACAATTAATGGTTTGCTAAAAAGTACAAGTGATTTAATGTAAAAACAATAATTACAATTTCAAAATTGTGCAAATAATACTAAAAACATATTTCTAATGCATCACATGAGAAAACAAATACCAATAATTTTTTTAGAAAACATATTTTTTTAAGCACTGCAAATTTTAGCAACGTTTTTACAACATATCTAAGACAAATAAAAATAATACCAATTTAATAAAGGCATGATATACCTTTCATCGAAATAAAGAGATATTACTAGTGTGATTTAAAGCACAGCAAATTTTAGCAACATTTTTACAATACAAACTAATAAGTAAACACACTATAGTAAAAATTATTCAGGTTAACAGAAGTACGATAGAGCTTTATGAAGACTACCTATTCAGCAATATAAAGAAATATAAAAAAAGTCATTTAAAATTCAAAAGTTTCTCTATGTAACTAATGTTATTTTCGATAAAGAAAAATTAAAATGATATTTAAAACAAAACAATGCCTGTAATTAGCAAGGAAGAATTTATTCAATACATTTCATACCTTTTAACACATTATATCCAACGAACATACAATATTTTATTAAATTCTGGCCCATTTAAAAATGCGTCAGCGGAAAAAAGATGACAATATATAAAGTTCCTAACTTCCAGGAAAATTTTGCTAGTATAATTTCCTTTCGCCTACATACAAAACACTTCTACAGTTTTAACAAATAATACAAACCAAGCTTTTAAAAATTTTCATATTTGACATCTAATAGCACCTGAACGCGTACATACTTCAATACAATGGTCACATACCAACATAGTAAGCGGCGTTTTTCCCATCCCCGTTTTTATTCTCAAAATACATCGTAATTCAATATAATTATAAAATCATTAATCTGAGTATATAAATGAGAGTTCGAGTTCATGACAGCTGAGTATTTTAAAGCAATATACATAATTTAGGCTTAAAGTAACACAAAAAATTCGTGAAAAACAATGTACCTCAACAACTAGAAAGTCAGTATTTTCTCCTGGAACCATACCGAATAAATGATCTTTATTTCTGTAAGGATTAAAAATCATCAGAGAGATGCTCAACAGATTTGTAATATTTCAAACGTCGCTTCATGACGAGTACACAACACAATTCCCGGTACCGTTCGCGAAATAAACCAATCCATATGATGCCTACAGGCAACACTTGAATTTCTGGAAACGCAATACAATATCATACGTATGACATATGAAGGCTCTTCAATGAAGGGTATCCTCATTGGATGAAACAGTGGTATGCCACGTATGAAGAATATGTCAATTAATACATATATATAATATTCTTTTACTTTCCTCTGTGGCTTAATTCTTAAAGTGCACTAAAAGTATTATTTTTAGTTTATATTTATACATATGTCGCTAATAAACGGTCATGCATGTTACTTAAAATCAAGGCGAAATAAATCAAAATTACTTTAGATATTATTTTGATTGCAAAAATCAAAGTGTGAATAAGGAATAATATTCCATGACATTTAAAGCTTAGATATTTGCCAAAACCAAAACCGATTCAATATGTTTTCAGTACAAGGGCAGAACGTGATCTGTATTACGTGAAGGACATCAGCAAAACAAAAAGACGAAAGTAAAAGTCAGGTGGCCGCGATCAGTCGTCGAAAAAGGTGAGTATCTGGTTGAAGGTCCAAATCAATGAATTGAAGAATCTAATATAATTTTAAAATGTTAAGAATGGAGAATGTCGGATGGATATTTGTGCTTTTCTGTGGGAAATGGAGAACATCTAAGAGAGTTCATGCAGTTGTTAGGATGAGTGGGAACTGAATAGAAGAAATTTCTGGCAAGTTTTTGAATATAATCTTGAATTGTATCTACTTTGAGATCACGGTGGATATAAGAATTTGGAATGAACCATGGCACGTTGATGTTCTCTCTGGGTGCTTTGTTTTGAAGAACTTGGATGTGTTGAAGGTGAGTTTTGGCAGCGTGGCCCCAGACAGGACTAGCATAGAGTAATGCTGGTCGAAGTATAGATTTATATAAGAGGAGTTTATTAGAAACGGACTTCTTCTGCCAAGAAGTGAGCGCATAGTTGCAAGCGTGATATTGATTTTTTTCAGAGTTTTCCTGAGATGTTTCTGAAAAGTGAATTTTTATCAAGAATGACTCCTAGATATTTAACTTCGTCAACCCAGTCAATTTCTTCATCAAACAGAAGATGTCTAGGTGGAGTGAAATTTTTTTTACCTTTGCGAAAAATTATTGCTTTTGATTTTTCGGTATTAACTGAAATCCTCCAAAGAATGTGCCAAGATGATTGAGGTAATGTTGAAGAAGGAGCTGGACATCAGTAACAGTAGGAGCTTGGGATATAATTGCAGTATCATCAGCGAAAAGAGCAAGGGTAATTTGTGGGTCCTTGGGAATACAAATTACAATTTTAGCCGGAGCGCACCGGAGCCCTAAATAAGATGAGCTCCGATACTTCTCCTTATAAAACTGAACCACAATTTAAAGGGGAAAAATTTAGAATTCGTAACGTTTTAGTTTAACAATAAGCAGGCATTGCAATATTCTATTTCCATAGAAATACGAACTCATGAAGACATGAGACGTTCAAGTAAAGTCCCCTCACTCACATGCGGAAACCTTTCCCTTTAAAAAGGGCAATAAATTTGGGGGGAGTTTGTTTAGGAAAGCGTAAATTTCTCGCCATGCCATCGTATCTAGTCTGTTATTGTTATCGATGCTTAGAGTGAGTTACCCTCGCAGGAAGGAAAATGTTCTTAAATGGGCGTTAAATGATAGCGAGTACAATAAGAGTGAAATACTGAGATAAACTGCTCAAGCACGTCCTATACATCGTCTTCCCATAATATCCACTAATGTGCGGGAAAGCGTAAACAGCAACTTTACATTCATCCTTAGGAGTCAGATGCAGGACTCATTTTACCCCTGACACACATTTGCTTGATGGCTATAATTATATCAGCAGAGAGCCACGATTAAAGAGAACGTTCTTCCTCATCAAGATTCCCCTCATTTTTTGTTTCCACCTACTCATACCCTCATTCTGTTTCGCCCTGGAATTTTCATCAGCTATACTTTAAGTAGGAGGCGTATTCGGAAACAAAGTACCGTTTTGAAAAAAAAAATAGTAAAACAATTTTTTCGAATCCAATTTTATTTTTACATGAAAATACATGTCTTAAACTATTTTTCAACATAGTTTCCGCCAATGATCAAACACTTGTCATAGCGGGTGACCAGTTTTTGTATACCATCGTCAAAGAAACTTCCCGCCAGTTTCGATAACCACGACTCCACAGCATTTTTCGTGTCATCGTCAGATCCAAAGCGCTTGCCCCCAAGCTCGCGCTTCATGTGCAGTAACAAGTGATAGTCGGACGGCGCCAAGTCCCGGGCTGTACGGCGGGTGATCGAACTGCTCCCAATGAAACTGTCGAATTAAGATGTGAGTTGACAACACCAGCACTATGGAGCCGAGCATTGTCATGGAGACAACAACAATTCCTTTACTGAGCATTCCAAATCCTCAAATTTCGTTGTTTTTGAAATGTTGTCAACATTGCCTTATTTTGTGTTGAAAAGTCTAGAGCAACCAAAATGGCGACATGCGACTATATCGCCTATTACAGCGCTGCAAAGGCGCAAGAATGAAACGGTACTTAGTTTCCGAATACGCTACATATATTTTAATATTTAATTTTTGTGATGATAAACAAGCTTTTCTCCCTACGATTAGAACTTAAATTAGGCCGGAGCCCACCGAATATTGGCTCCGGTGCTTCTTAGTTTTTGTAATAAATCATAATTCCAGTCGGAACGCACAGGAGTCCTGAATAAGAAGGCTGCGGCACTTCTTTTATGTAATTGCTGCTCCCCGTTTAGTTTGGTTTTGACTGTTCTTCTAAGTTACATCATTGCGAGGTGTGGTTGATGCTGTTAACACAAGAGAGCTCATCTATGTTCTAAATTCTGTTTAAGTAAAAAGGTTGTATAAACCTTTCCACGACTCTGCAGTTACTTTCAGACATAGTGATAATTCCCTTCACGTCTGTTAGGGGATTTTTGGCTCATTACCAAATCAAATGAAACATTTACCACATACATTTACCACAGCTGAATTGTCCATGGCCTTAATTTGGTTCACTAAGCAAAAATACCTATCGGATTCCTTTTAGTTACTCTTATATAAAATATGTCTTTTAAACCTTTTATTTAAAAGTGGATAAATCATTTTAAAAAATCTCAAGTGTACACAACATGACTTTTTTGTAAGTTCTATTAAGCTAATGCACTTTTGATGGTACTTCTTTTAAACTTATTTCCTCGTATCATTCTAACTTAATAAACCGATCTCTGAAAGCAACTTGAACATTAAAAATTATAAATGTTGAAATTAAGTAGCCAGGTCAATTTTGGTCCTACCGAGAGTCAAACTTCTTGTATTTTTATTTTTCTATAACGAGTATAAAACCTTAACAAATATAAGTACAGTCGGCCACAAAAGTATTCGAACACCGGTACCCATTCAGAAAATTTACTTTTCCGTTGAGAAACAAAATTGTCTCCAGAGTCTATCTTGGTTCGATAGACAAAAAAAAAAAAAAAAAAAAAAAAAAAGGATGGCTCATGTCCAAAATTGGCTAGGTGCATGAAACAAAATACAACATGACCTATCTGGGTGAGATGGGAAACAAAATGGCTGCTCACGTAATCCATTATTGCGCTCATAGAAAACGCAAAGTGTCGCTGCGGCTCGTCTCGGTTCGCGAAGAGTGAAAACCCAAAACGGTCTGCAGTGTCTATCTTTGTTGAATGAGAAAACAAAAGGATGGCTCATGTCCAGTTTATTTAGGTGTGGGAAAACATATAACGTGACCTATCTGGATGAGATGTCTCCAGCGATCCAGTATAGACTTTTTCCCCATCTGCAATAGATGACATCTATAAACAATTTCATTGAAATCTCCTCGAAATATAAGAAACAGCTAGCTCGTGAAATTGTAAGTATTCCCAAAAAATTCCACTTCTTGAAGAAGGAAAAACACCCTAGCTGCAGATGAGGTAGAGAGAGAGAAAAAGCATGTTGCACCATGGAGAGCCCGCACGGTTCTGAACAGAAAACGTGGAATGCTTTTATAGAAAGAGTTGAAAGTGAAAGTAAAAGCCGATTGGAAATTTTTCAATTGGTTGCCGACTGGGAAAAAAATTTTCAGAGCTCAGAAAAAAAAAATCTGAGATGTAAAAAAAAAAAAAAAAAAAAAAAAAAAAAACTTTTTGTTAATTTTTATCATGTCTTCTAGACATGATAAAATTAAAAATTAACCCTACCCCCCTTTTGTGTGGGAATGTTGTCTCACTGTTTCTAAAAATAGACCATGACTCATTCTAGGAATTATATGTTTTAAAAAGGATGAGTTTAAAGTTTATAAGATATGATAAGTTTTTAAAAAGGATATGTTTTAAAAAGTCTTTGGGTTTCTCCATTCCAAAGTAAACAAAGTGAAGACATCAAATTAATAGAAAAAAAGGAAGAGTTTTTTTTTTTTTTTTTATAGCTCTGGAAATATTTTTCCAATTCAACAGCCAAGAAATATTTCCAGCCAATACAATTTCATTTTTACTTTCACTTTCAATTCATTTCTTATATCTATAAGAACATTTCATTTTTCTGTTCAGATCAGTGTGGGTTGTTCAAGATGCAGCATCTCTACTCCATCCCACAACCAGGAAAAAAAGATGTTCTTTCATGAGATGTTCTTTTGGCTTTCGAAAACAATGATGACATGATGATTGTAATACATTTCGGTTCTCATGTCCCATACTTGAACTCAGAATTATTTCCAGAACTCTGAAAATTTTTCCTAGTCAGCTCGATAACCCAGCTTTCGTATATTTATTTTTTTAAGCCACTCGAGTTTCGACTTCCCATCCGTGTGTGCTGTGCATTCAACCTGGAGACACATTCCCTGAGCTCTAAGAAAATGTTTCCCAGCCCACTCAATCCCTGAAATGGATTAAAAAAATTCTTTCATACATTTTTAAAGCTCAAGAGTGTTAGGTGTCAAGGAAAGAACCTTTTTTTTCCCCTGAGCTCTAAGAAAATGTTTCCCAGCAGACTCAATCGCTGAAATGGATTAAAAATAAATTCTTTCATACATTTTTAAAGCTCAAGAGTGTTAGCTGTCATGGAAAGAGCCT